CCACTTTATTATCGCTTTCTGGCCCATGTGTGATAACATCCTAAGTTTTGTCCTAGGAATAAAGAGAGGGATATAGGGTTCATATGGTGACTATCAATGCCCCAGTTGTAATGTGTAAAAGAACTTGCCACCTGGATCCTTGTGTCTGTATGGAAGGTTTCCACACCAGTTAAATGAGAACCTGCCTTATTTATGCCAGGTAACACTAATTGTCCATCTAACCCAGAGGTGGGCAACCTGTGGCTGTCTAAATACTGTTGAATCCTGCAAGTCCCATAACACATGGTAAGGCTTTATTGAACATTATATAGGGTTGGCTGGCTGTATATGGGGCTGGATATGGGACTCTTATGACTTTATAGCTCAAAAAATTGTGGGGTAAAAATGAGGCACCGTAAAACTTTTGTCAAGCAGGACAAATCCTCTTTTACCTTCCAAATGCCAGCTTCCAGCTAGAACTGCCTCTTCTAACATGGCTATTGCCTCACCAGAAGAGAGAGGGGAAGAGACACTTTTTAGATGGATTCCTCCCCGCCAACTAAAAACTAATGAGCAATGCAACAAATAGTAATTGGCCTTTTTTTTTTTTTTTTTGCAACACTAATGTTATATAACAAATGTCTTTTTCAAAGTAGCTTTTCAAATTCTGATAAGCAGAAAGGAGATATTCATAGTCAGATGATAAAAGCTGTTTCCCCAGAAAGCCCGTGCTCAAAGAGTAACAGAAGGTATGAAATAAATCTGAATTAGAGTTAATGAAAGCATTGGGACAGCAGAATTAGTCTAAAATGAGAAAATCAGCTTGAATTAGAAAAAGAATAGTCTGTTATATACCAGAAATAAAAGCTGTGTTCTGTGTTTTACATCTGACAATTGTATTCTTCTTTCTTTCAAAACCAAGCCTTTAGTTATGAGCGATCATTATAAGATGTGCAAATGAGAGAATGTCTGTGTTACAAAGGATGATTAGGTCACATCTTTTATGTTTCTCACATATTGGAAATAATGTCTTGAGTAGCAGGACTACTGGGTCTAATCTTCTCTTAAAATTGAAGATAATTGTTTTATTTTGCAGAGTCTGGTGGAGTCTGGAACAGCATAAAATATGAGCGCGGTGGGAGGCTTGGAGAATCCACCAAATATCTTTTGAGGGAAAATGTTAAAGATGAACCCAAAAGTCACTTTTTGTCATGCACAGAGGTACTTGTAACATAAATTTTAAAAACATTTATTCCATTGACAATTAATGTAGTAGCTGGATGTTCACCAAAAAAAGTCTATGGTAGTACCTGGAGTTTGCTGGAAATACTGAGGCAAGCAAAACCTCATCTAGATATCAGAAATAAAATCACTTTGTAAGGAGCAAATCCCAGCATTTTCAGTAAAAAAATATTGTTCCATATAGTCCTATATAAGTGACTATATAAAAGGAATATTCTGGAATATTTTTAACGGACACTTTTTAAAAAACTGGTTCAAAAGTTAAGTTTTTAAAAAATAATTAAAGTTGAGGATTGATAAGTGGACTGTGTAACCAGATAAAGGTTAGCTTTTTAAAGACTTTTAAAATTAATTAATTAATTAATTAATGTGTTTGTTCTCAGGTTACTGATGTGTGCCTTCACATCATTTTCTAACTTATCTAAGGTGAACCTGTCGTGGGGGTTTCTTGGCAAAAATTGTTCAGAAGGGGTTTGCCTTCCTCTGAGGCTGAGAGACTGTGACTTTCCCAAGGTCACCCAGTGGGATTTGAACCCTATTCTCCAGAGTCCTAATCCAATGCTCAAACCACTATGCCATGTTGGCTTTTCTGGTAATAAATGCTTTAAAAAACAACAACATACCGGTAAATATAGAAGTGGAACAGGCAAAAAAGAAGCAAACATGCACACATGCATAATATTATGCTCAGGAGGGTATCTTCAATCCAGTTTCACACAATCCCAAACATCAGCTCTGCTGATTTAATAACCATTTCTAACCAGTTGCCCATTACCTGTTAACTGCCCAAAACTAAAATATCTCCTGATACATCTGTTTTTCACCCAGGTTGGGCAAGTAAGGCCAACACTTTCTTCATCCTCCAGGTAGGTGGCTTTATCTCTAACCATTAGGTTTTAGACCCATGATGGGGAAAGTATTGTGTTCCAAATGTTGGGGAACTGCAAATCTTGTTAGCCCGAGCTAGCATAGCGGGTGGTGAAGAATCACTTCTCCAGGGTGGTGGAGAAGAGTCATGGTGCTGCAGTGGTTAAATGCCTGTTCTGCAGCCACTCACTCATAAACCACAAGATTGTGAGTTCAATACCAACCAGGGGCTCATGCTCCACTCAGGCTTGCAGCCTTCTGAGGTCACTAAAATAAGTACCCAGCTTGATGGGGGCGATTGGCTTACAACTTAGGAAGTGCTTAAGTGCACTGATAAGTGGCATAGAAATGCTACTTGCTATCATGGGATAAGCAATCAAACTTCGGAAATACCACATATTCCCTAACTATGCTTCAGATCAGGGGTAGGCAAACTTTTTGAGCCAGGGGCCAGGTTGCTGTCCCAATAAATAAATACATAAATAATAAAAATTACTAAAAATTAAAAAATGTAAAAAATTAAAAAATTAAAAAAATATGCATGCACACTCTCTCAGCCCCAGAAAAGCCATGGCAAAACCCCTGTGGAGATTTTGCCAAGAAACCCCCAAGAACAAGTAATAACAACAATAATCAATATCATTATGGCGGGCGGCGGCAGCAGGACTGGCCTAGGGCTGGTCCAAAGGCTTCAGGGGGTTGCATCCGGCCCCCGGGGCCTTAGGTTTCCTACCCCTGCTTCAGATAAAGACTAATGTGGTTCAATAGTACTATCCAACAGTTGTCTACCATCCACTAGAAGACAATGTAAGAACCTAGAAAATGAGGGCTGTTGGTTCACTCAGCACAATAGCTTAATATGACTATAGGATTATTATTTATTCTGTGTGGACCATGTGCCAAAATGTTAGTATGAAATTCAGTGTTCCAGCTAATCAACCACAAATTCCCTCTCCCAGAATAACTCTCACCCTAGATTTTCCCTTCTTTT